TTCCTCTCATAGTCAAGGAACCATACATTAATATCAACTGAATACCACAGCTGCAATTGTGGCAAAGCAGGCACAGCAAGCACTGCGTCCTCTAAAGGAATTTAGACAAGGAAAGAGCCTATATTTCTACACGAACAAAGAAGCAGTTCGTTTTGCCACTCCCCTCATCATATGAAACCAGCATTACATATATACAGCATTAGAATTTGCATATGTACCCACACCAGAGGCAAAAAGTAAAATGGAACTTTTCTTTTTCTGAGGAAGTAGTAAAATAGAAATTATATTATCAAAAATATCATCTCTACAACTAAGCCAACAGACCAACCTGCAAAAGGCTTGTCCGTAGTTTGCTGCTCTTAAAAGCGTCCGTTGCTGTGAAACATCAAACTCATGACCTGCTGCATCAATACATGCTTCAACAGCCTCGGGCAACGAAGACCGTATCAGCCTCAGATTCTCATCAGCCTGGTGAATGATTAGGTGATTAAAATTTTCCCAGAAGCTGAACTTCAAAACAATTTTTCTCTACTATTAGCTGTCACAAGACTAGTTTTTGTTAAGTTATTGTGTCTTGTAACTATTTTACTCAGCACAATCTTTGTGCTAAAGACTACTTCAATACAACAACAACAACAAACCCAGTGAGAATCCCACAAGTGGGGTCTGGGGAAGGTAGGATGTATGCAGACCTTACCCCTACCTTTGTGAAGGTAGAGAGATGTTTCCGATAGATGCTCAGCACAACTAAAGGCTACTTCATTAATATATTAAAATTTGCTACCTTCTTCACAAAAAAAAAAAACAATTCTTCTCTAGCATGTAAACTCAAGCATGGGCATCTGACATAAAAAGTTGAAACAATAGTGTCCCATAGAAGAAAAGACTAAAAGGAAGAGCCTTAGAAACTGATTCAAGAGAAAGAGGACATGCCAAAGGTTATGTTTAACATTCCTCTTAAGTTCAAGTTTCTCTTTCTCTCAGCCTTCAACTTCCACCAGAAAAAACAGTTCACTAGCAAAAGCATTCATCGAACTGAGGAAAAACATTGGAATGATGAGAAATTCAAGGTTTAAATTCCAATTTACTGGCTTACATAATATGAACCTTTACATAAAAGATAAAACAACAGAAACTGATGTTTACACAGTGTATCCCTTTTTTCAGGGAAAAAGGCCGAGAGAAAAAAAGAAGCTTTTCTGAACATCAATGACACAAGCACAAGTGTGTACACATAAGTTCTCAACCCATTTTGTGATGAATAGATCAATCTTCATCCAGCAGTAGATGGATGATCTCCCAGTCTAGAATACCTAAGATGATCCCATGAAAGGTAGATATCCCTCATTCCATCGTCCCTAGTCAGACCTCTTCCTTTCTACTACACTAAAAAGAATGTACAAAGTGCCATGTAGACCAAAGGATGTGAGTCATTTGACATCTAGTCACTTACCAAAAAATTTAAAAGAAAACTGGTATGTTGTCTTTAATAATTCACATATCTGAATGATCATTACATACCACTGCCTTTTGATGGCTGCAAGCACTGCTGGTTGAATTTACAAGGTTTTAGTCCAGAGTGGAGGCAACAAAACTTAATTAACAGAAAAAATAGCATTCATGCAACATCCTTGCACTTTAATAAAGAGCAGAGATGGAGAAGCAAGAACCCATCAATTCTCAATACTAGTGCATACCAGGTCTTAGAACAAATGACAGACCTTTATTATTGGAATTCAGCAAAGATAAAGAAAAGACTTTAACATCACAGTTGTTGCAATTACTCAAGAAATCTAAATGTGAGCTTATTTAAGTGCAAGGCCAAACTTATTTTTCCTCATTATAGATTATCTACTTCAATATCTGTATCAAAAGTTAGCTGACATGTAACCTGAGTTTTGAATCATTTACATTCATGTCACAGGAACCTAGAATGTGTTTGGTATTAGGTTAATGTTTTCTATGAAAAATATGTCAATTGAAAATGTTACTCAAAAACACTGCTTTATGTCATTGTATGATATTGGGTTAAGAATATAGAAGGAGGTAATTGTAGTAAAGAATGTGGGAAATGATGTAGCATGGCAGAGTATTTATAGTAGGAATTGATATGCTTGTAGAGAGAATTGACTTTATCCAAAAGACGTTAAGGATTTTTCATTGTTTCTGCTATCCTCGTCAAACAGGGTTATCAATTACAATGTCCTAAGGGTATGCATCCCAGGGTACATATGCAGGTATGGAAACAAGTCTGGATGCAGAAGTAGATACATATTTGTTAGAAGAGGTAAATATGTGCACAAATGGACAAGTCTAATGATGCTCATTTTATGGAAATATTTCGAGATTGAAATAGGCAGTTGGGTCCTCGTCATTTCATAGAGTAAATACCAAAAGATATAGCCTACCTTGGCACTCCGCCTGTCAAAATGATCTAAGGCATCATAAAGCAAAGCAGCTGGTAGTGTGCTACCAATCTGAAATATGGAGACAGTTGAATCTGGAACACGATGAAGAAATTCCATGCTCATGTTGGAGAGTATTCTAACCCCGTCACATTCAGGGATAAGGAGAACTGGTTCATCATAAAAATAGCTGACAGGATCTCCAGGACCCACCATTAGAAGCTTATCATCCCAGTAGAGTAGTACACTGTCCAATCCACACCATGCTAGCTGCTCAGGGGGTAGGGCTGACTAGAAATACAAAAGCAGTAGCATGGTAAGCAAAGATTCACTGTTTTGTTTTTTGGATAAGTTGGTAAAGAAATATTCATCGATCCAGATGAACTAAAAATTCCAAAAGATGAAAATAAAGGGTGGCACACACATGTGATATAAAATCCAACTAAAATAGCCAGAAATCATTTTTTACATGTGAAAAGCAACAAATCAGATCTAACTGATGCTCAAACAAGTTATATGTGCATGGTAACTTGCTTGAATTATTCTATCTAACAATAATGTGGTAAGACATCACGAAAAATCATTCTAGTTAGCCACTTAACATAATACAGAGCAAGTAGAATTTACTTAAAAGAATGCAGAAATGGCAAGTTAGAGCATTGGGAATGAAATAACCTTCTCAAAAGTATAGTCGAAAATAGTGCTGGAGAAGTCTGTAGAGATAACAAGAAGCCTGTCATCATGTGTAAAAGCTGCCAAAAGCTTCCCATTCTGAGAAACCACCATTTTCTGTAGAGGCCCAATTCCAAGCCCAACTTGCTGAACACCATCCTCTTCCACTAGCAACACGTGATCAGCAACACCCATCAGTACCTCCACATTCCCAGACATAGTATACTGCGGCTCGATCACAGCCGTACATAACGGAAAATCCTCCAAACCAGTATCCGCCAATTTGATTGGTTTCGGGTTGTTGAAATCGGGTATGCAGTAAACCTGAAACGCCTCGTTAATACAAACGACACCGTTTCCCCAGAAGATGCATTCAACTACGCTATGAGTAAAACAGTCAGCGCCTAATGTGAGCTGAGAATTCGGTTCAATAGGCTCGGCGTGGATATTGTAACGGTAAATGGTGCCGTCCTGAGTGATGCAAACTAGGGTTTGATCGTCAGTCCATGACATGCCAATGAGTCGGCCGCCGGGATTCTTCCAGACAGTTTCGGAGATCTGAACGCCGGCAGAATTGAAGATACGGAGCTTCCGAAGGGCGGATTCGGCGTAGAGTTGGACGATCTTAGCGTCGTCACGGATGACAGCGATTGGACCGCCGAAAGGAGCGCAGGCGACTTTGTTGCGCGTGAGGTCCACGTGCTTCCATTGCATCTGGTAAAGTTCTGGTTTCCGGTAGTAGCGATTGTGGAGGAGCTGCCATTCTGCGGCCACTGTGACTGCCGCCATTGGGAGATTGGAAGCTAAAGTTTAACTTCTGATCAAAGATATCGTCAGATCAGAAACATTACTGAAAAAATGTTTTAGCAGCAGGTCGGGTCGGGTCGGGGCAGCTCCGCTCCATGTTTACCTTTTATTATTTTTTATTTCTTTTTCTTTTTTTGTCAACTGCCGCATGTTTTCTTTGTTTTGTCGTTTTTTTTAGAGCTATTATTCCTTTTCTGTATTTTAAATTCTTTTTGGGTGGAAGTGGCCAATGAATAATTGAGAGTGGAAGATAGAAAATGGAAGAGTTTTATGTTGAATTAAATTAAAGCAATACAAAACGGTCAATATGCTCCTATATTGTTCGAAATTGAGTAACTTTATTTTCCGTCAATTTTTTTTTTCTAATCTATTTCTTGATGTTTAGATAATGAATCTCATTTTTTTTCCTTGACCTCTAATGATGCTTCAACCTTAGAAAATTTTAAATCATTGTTAAAAGTTGAAGGATAAATTGAATATCTTTATATTAAGAATTTGAACACGCAGAATTTATTCATATTGCGTTAAGCTTTGTTCATAGTAAAGACAAATATTAAAATTTGTTATGAGCAAAGGTAAGAATGAATCAAAAGTTTAACTAATGATAAAATTAAACAATTCCAACTAGTACATGAACAAATTAGACATTTTTTGTTTAAAACTATGCACATAATTGATGTGTACAATCGCTTGGGGTATAATTCAACCTTCTATATTTTATTGTTATCTCTAGTTTTCTTTTTTGTTTTAAGAAAATAGGTGACATAGCGTATGTGAATAAGGTGAAGAAAAGGAGTGGAAGAAATTTGAGCCCCATCATTAGGCAACAACTTAATATGATGATTAAAACTTGTAAATGCATGAATATGGTGCACTGATTAATAGATGGTCCCTTCAACTTCCTTGGCTGCAAAATTCAAGACAAANTATTTATAAAAAATATAACTAAGTGTCAATCAAAATTCAAGTATTTTTCTCGAAGTTAATCGGTTGTAAAGTCTTAAAAAAGGACTAATGGTGGATGGATCCTACATTTTTGGAAGACCAAACATTAGGAACTCCTTAAAACATAGTCACAAATTTATCAAAAAAGTATGCAAGAGATCAACTGTAATCTCATACTATAAAAAGCATCGATTGTATGAAATTGACTTTCTAGGCATTTGTACGAGTCGATATGAGCTGATATTTCTTGATGGGTTGCTTTGGGCATTGCCCAAATCAGCCCACCAATAAAATATATATTGTCCGACTCGTTAAATTTTGGATTAATTGAAGGTGTGATACGTCTTTAGGTCAATTTTGACATCCTCACTCGTGCGATACAAGGTAATCCACTTTTTGGTCATCTCTTGTAGCCTTAGTTTTTAACTACTAAAATAATACATAAAAACTTAAAAAAAGATATGAAAAATTAAGTCCAAAAAAGGGAATTAGGCACCTATGTATCTTTTCACTGTTTCTATCTGTTTTTTTATTTTTTTGTGTGTGTGTGTGTATGTGCAGAATATGAATTATTTGAATTAGGCATCCATGTTTTTTGCTTATTGTTTTCGATTTTAATTTCTTCTTTGTTCTCCATTTTCTGAGTTTATAGAACACCTGTTATTCCTTTAATTTTGTTTCCAAAAGGTGCTTTTTGCTTCTTTTTTTTTTTTAAGCGTCATTCGCTTATAATTGATGTGAAAGAAAACATTTTATTGGTAGCAACTGGGAGAGATACATATGGTAAGATGCATCAGAGCAATGCAAGTTATTGAAATTCTCTTATGTATATAAGTAAGAATCCAAAACCAAGAATGTAACCAGTATGCTCATAAAATGTAAAAAAGGGCAGCTCACAAGTATCTATTGTACGCGGTCTTACCTCACATTTTTGCAAGAGGCTGTTTTCACGGCTCGAACCCGTGACCTCCTGGTCACTTACCAGTAACGCCAAAGCTCCATTCACTCTCATAAAATGTAAAATTATTGATTTTCACGTTCAATACCACATTGACACCACGAACTTCGGTGACAACCGTCTCAATGCAAGGTTGAGATTCGATTCAGATAACACCTTGTGTCTAACTAATGTCTTAAGTGTAATTGGACGTAATTGATGCTACAATATAAAGTGGTTGAAGCTCTCTAACTTGCAATGATTCCTTTTGGTTAGGGTAATGATGAACTTTTCTTCTCATTCACTATATTGATATTTCTTGATTTGACATATTTATCCTATGAACACATAATGAAATTTTAGCTCTAGAATGTGCAAACTGTGGTACCTTCTCTTCACTACCAAAAAGGAAAGTCATTGCACTGGTGGTTAAATCAACCGTTATTTTTTACCTATGGAACTTTGTTAACGAGACTATGCTTTTTCTCCATTGCGTACTTGATTATTGGTTGCAATCCAAGGCGCTTTCGACTTTGGGAATCACTTCTCCCTGTTGGCCTAAGCTTCTATTATTCATGTTAATGAGAACTGCTTTCTTCCTTTCCAGGGTTTGCTTTACCTATTTGTTAATTCACTATATTTAAGGTAATTTTGCCTTAATAACGGTGGTGTCGAGACGATTGCGCACAACTTGACTAATCACCCTGGTTGCTACCTTCCACCAGCGTAGATATCAGATCTATTACGATTTAGATAGAGGGCAGCCCACTACACTAAGCTTCCGCAGTGCGCGGGGTTCGAGGAAGAGCCGGACCACAAGGGTCTATTGTACGCAGTCTTACCCTGTATTTCTACAAGAGGCTGCTTCCACGGTTCGAACCCATAATCTTCTCGTCGCATGGCATCAACTTTACCAGTTACTCCAAGGCTCCCTTTCAAATATCACAATTTAGATAAGTTAGTAGAAATCACCTCACGTCATTTGTCTTAACTGAATCTGAACCTTGGGCTCACATGGTCCATTTTAACATCATTGACCATTAGACCACACCCTTAAGTACTTCTCAATTACTAATCTTATTCAGCCGAGAAACTACCTAAGCTTTTGATTGCAATTTGCTTTTAACGTTATCAAACCAAGGTGGACGGTTGTGCTTGGATTACATGTGACATGTTAACCACTTTGGGTAAATTTGCATCATTGGCTCCCATGTGCCAACTCCTGCTCTATAGGGACCTCCTAGTCACTTCATATTCTAACCCAAGATTGGAGACTTAAACATTTGCTTACTCTAAACTATAGTACATTGTTAGTTAGAAGGATTCTAATTTTCTTTAGACCAGTAACGCAAATCAGAGTCTCAAAAGGATGTAGCAAATACAGGTTATTGGCTGTGGTCCAAGGCTAATACTTCCAAGATATATGAAGCACGTAAGTAGGCCAAAACTGTCATGATTAGATACAGAAATTGATTGCAAGTATATGATAATGGAGGGGCCATTACAATAAAGCTATTCAGTAATCACATTTGTAAAATCTACTGCATAAAGTTGCATGTCATGGTCCACCTGTCTTATACTTTTGTTCTTTTAAATTCTCACACGATATAATTCTCTTTGGCCAGCAAAAGGTGTCTATAATTGGCTGATAAATAAATTAGAGTACGTATTACGTGCGTTGCTAAATAAGCAAGTTCGGAGAATTTGTTTCAGAACAGAATAATATTTGTAGTTTACCAACTTAACAAATACTTTACTGTCTAATGTGTTTAAAGGGTTCGAGTTTTGTGCATTTCCAAAAGCAACCACCCAACATGGGAAAATGCTTAGTAATACTAGTGACTATGCTTCTGCTCAGTAGTGGGTAAGTAGAGACTAAAATTGTACATATATTTTGTCAACTATACTTGATATTTTTTTTGAAATTTGTCCTCCCACTCTGGCTATCTTCTGCTCTGAAATCCCACATTCTCTCCATTAAAAAGAAAAGCCTGTCGTAGAGTCCCCACCAGGTTGAAATCACAGCCTAACTCCCATTTCCCTACTATCTTTTCCTCAATATAAAAATGTGCACTATAAAACACTATGCCAAAGCATTGTTAATTTGTCAAAAGCTAGCATTTCACTTCGGCTTCTTAGAAAGGAAATACTTGTTTTTCTACAATGTCTTTACTCTTTAGACAAAGTGTGCTGTTTAATTTATGATAAAGTTTAATTGACCATTGCAGTTGAAGAGAAAGCAATGAACCTGAGCCTACAGCAGGTTATAACAAGTTAAGCTCAACAGCTTTTGGTGGTGCTGTCTCTTTTTCTTCTCAGTTGTTTCCTCTCTTCATCAACACAAAGTTTTGTAGCATTAACAACATAGGAGTATGAGTAGAAACACCATATTGCCCATGCAGAAGCTCATAGTTCACGTGGCGATTCTCATTTTTGCTCTTCTACCATTAGTCAGTTCAACTCAAAAGCACACAAAAAAGATTATTCATGAATGCAGTGATCACAAAGTCCTTGAGGTTATTCACCTTTGCATCTCCTATTCTTTGTCTTTCAATTTTCTTTTATCCTCTGGAAAGTATTATGGGAACTCAAACTTGACTCAAACCTTCTCAGTGAACAGTTTCAAGCTATTGTTCTGTAATTTCCCATATATTTGTAGGGCAGCAACTAATTATCTATCTCAAATTTCAGTTAAGTCCGAAGTTGTCATTCCAAATTATCCTACATGGATTTCTGCTATGGGCTTCTATGGGTTTCTTGATGCCTATTGCGATTCTTGTAATGAGAATGTCAAATAGACAGCAATGTGGAAGAAGGCTAAAGCTTCTTTTCTATACCCATGCTTCTTTACAGGTAAAATTTCTTTAACTTTTGTTTCACTGTGAATGTGGAAAGGGTCATAAACTTCATTCCGTACTATTCTTTGCTTTGGCGCATAAGAATCAGTATCTCAGCAGTTACTGAAAGTTATTATTACAAATTTGAACCTTGTCTATTGGATATATAGAAGTACCCCACTTTTCACCTTTAATTATACTGAAAGAGAGTAAGAGCTATGATTACAGATTTGCTAATAATTAAACTAGCCTGGTTTGTTATTAAGTAATTGTAAGTTAATTTATCCTCAAGTTGATAGCAGTGATCGATCAATGCTTGATGGGAGAGGAAAGACAGGATTAATAAAGGGTGTGTTTGGTATGAAAGCAAAATGTTTTCATGTTATCACTTATTTTTCCTTGTTTGGTTGATGAGTGAAAGACTTTTTCCGAAAAATATTTTTAGTGTTTAGTTAGAGAGTAGAAAATATTTTTTTAGAAAAATTATTCTTTATGCTACTCTCCTCACCCCTTCCCCCAAGTCCCCATGTTTCCTTGCTCTCCCCCTCCCCCCCCNACTTTTTTACGCAAAACAACGTTGAAATTTATGCTCCATAACTATAAAGAAAATACTCTTTTTTTGTTGAAAAAGAAAGTACTCTTTATACCATGAAAATAAAGTAATCATTTTATTGAAATAAAAGAAAATACTTTTTTTACATCATGAAAAGAAAATACTCATATTGTTGAAATGAAAAAAAATACTTTTACTATGTCATGAAAAGAAAATATTTTTTTGTTGAAACGAAAGAAAATACTTTTTTTACATCATGAAAAGAAAATACTCATATTGTTGAAATGAAAAAAAATACTTTTACTATGTCATGAAAAGAAAATATTTTTTTGTTGAAACGAAAGAAAATACTTTTTTTACATCATGAAAAGAAAATACTCATTTTGTTGAAATGAAATAAAATATTTTTTCTACATCATTAAAAGAATTTTTTTTTTGTTAAAATGAAAAAATACTTTTTATATCATGAAATAAAATACTCATTTGTTGAAATAAAAAAGAAATCTATTCATAACATGAAAAGAAAATACTATTAATAATATTTTTATTTAGGATGGAGGTGGGGGCGAGATAAGGGTGGGCGGTTGGGGTGGGAGTGGGGTGGGGTGGGTTGGTGGGGATGGGGAATAGGGTGGGGAAGGTTGAAAAAGAGTTTTGGAAAATGTTTTTCCTCTCTTGATAGGTAAAATATTTTCCTACAATTGAAGGAAAATGAGTTGATGAGTAAAATGTTTTCCAAAACATTTAAGCCAACCAAACATGAAAAAATTAGAAAATATTTTCCAAAAAATGTTTGTCTTCGTACCAAACACACCCAAAGTCTCTTATTTGAGTACTACAAATAGCTCTATCAATTTATTATTTAGAAATGAGCGCAATTCAAGTTAATTATGATGTTAGTTAAAACCGTTTATTTTGACATAGGATACTTGACAGCTGACTACTTCTATTTAGAAAGTCCACATAGATTTACATAATAATGTAGTGCATAATATTAACATCAATATTTCTTCTTATTTGGCAGATACTATGTGTTATCCTTGTAATAACAGCAACAACCTTGTCAGTAATAAACTTTGAGAACTTTTTCGACAATACTCACCAAAGGATTGGCTTAGCTCTATATGTTGCCATATGGCTGCCAATAGTCGCTGGGATTTTTCGGCCTGACAAGTAAAGCATACCATGATTTCCCCATGGAATTTTCTCTTCATTTAATTGAATAAAAGCTTTATGTGGGAAAGAGGGGTGTAGTTAATTAGTACTGTTTCTTGTTCTTCCTTTGCAGGAGAAGCAAAAGAAGGGGTGCATGGTTTTGTTTCCACTGGCTTATTGGAGTCACAGTTACTTTACTGGGAATCGTCAACATATATACAGGATTACAGGCCTATCACATGAAAACAATGAAAAGCACCAGTGTTTGGAACTGGCTTTTCAGTGCTGAGGTTGCTATTATCGCGTTCATCTATCTACTCCAAGAAAAATGGCACTATAAAAAGCAATCAGGAGTGATTTTAGGCAATGAATCAGTACGACCAACGGATCAACAAACATCTCCAACAGATGAGGAAAAGGAACTGTCACCCATGCCTTAATCAGAGCCATGTTAAGACTTCAGACAAACAAATGATTTGCGTTTTACTAACATTAAATTCTTTCCAATTTTGTTATGATCTCACCAACAAATATGAGAGTTTTGTGTAGGATACTAATGTAGAACATCATATACAGCAATTAATATGAGGAGTTTTGTGTCCACCTTTTTGCATTTGTTTAAATTTTGTAACTACCTCTGCATTGGTGATATGTGTGGAAATCTAATTGATGATTTTATCTGCATTTGATATGAAGTTACAGTAAACAGAACTGGCTTCACTATCGTGAGAGATTCAATCAATGAGTTAAGCATATCCAACTCCATCACAACATATGCAGCTAGTTCTAACCAGCTCTAGTTCTTGTGGTGACACCAACAATGAAAGACACTCAAGCGAGAGAAAATTGTCCATTCGATCACCTTTTGGTAGCAATGATCTGTTAATGTGCAACTCCCAATGACCACTCATCTCGAGAATAAACAGGCCTTTCACAAATTTATATAGTTTCACTATATTAGTAACAGAAACAGTGGATCTTTATACAAGTCATGGAAATAGCTGCACATAACCTGTCGCAATTGCAATTCCTAAAATGACAAGGGGTGGAAGGATGACAAATGCTCCAATTGTAGCAAAGAATACTGAGTCATTCCTCTGAGATACTTCGTTCAGATACGCTTGTCTTTTGATATTTCTCTTCTGTGAAACAGTTAAGAACTTGGCGCTAACCTTCTTCAGATTCTTACCCAAGGGAATGCTGAAGTCATCATCTCGATCTCCAACCAACTTTGCGAGCTGAGCACGAATTGTAGGTTTACTAGAGCTACTATCACTTTCGTAACCTGGCCAAGGATCAAGTCAACGATGGTCAGGAATAACTAAAGGGTAACTCAGGTCTCGATAATGAAAGGCAAAAGTAAGCAAAGATGGGCAAGTTTACTTGAAATCTTGCTATAACTTTTTGAGCAAATGGAAGGGATAATGAATGACCATAGAAGATGATACAGAGAACTGAATCCCCTCTAGAGCAGAATGCTTAATGGATTCTACGTGAAGCTGTCTCACACAGTAATAATTGCATAAAAAAGACTACAGATTGTGCAACTAGTGCCCTGTGTGTATGGAGGATGTAGAATTCCCAAATTATTAACTGCTAAATAGTATATATATCTGGGAAGTCTGGAGTATGTTCGTTAACACATTAGGAGTACAGTCAGAAATACCAAGGTCAGTCAAGGATAGGTACAAAAGCACCTCCATACGGCCTGGAAGACAATTCCTGCTCGTATATTTTGGGCGGTTTGAAGGAAAGGAATCGCAGATGCTTCGATGATCATAATCTAGATGCTTTTGCTTAATAGCTAGATGTATGCAAATGTTAAATTGCTGGTCTAAGTTGACTTTTGTAGATGATGCAAATTCTGATTTATGTACTTTCTTAGAGCAGTTTGATGAAATTCTCACATTACTTATCAGGAAAAAGACAAAGAACCAAAGGGGAGAACATATACCATTAACTGCTGAGCTGCTGGAAGTAAGCTGTTCCAAGAGATCTAGCTGCGTTCGAGCAGAAGATAATGACCCTGAATAAATAAATAAAAATCAGCAAAAGTTCAACAATTAAACAGAACAAATGTAGCTCATGCTGTCATATATCACACGGGATAACAGGAAATGGCACACCCTATGATTAGCTTAAAAATTCATATTAATCAATAATCAATCAGAGAGGCCAGCTTATCTCCATCTTCTAGATTGCGACAAAAACTTTCAGAACTCAGATGCCCTAAAGACTAGCAGTGGTTTACGATATGAATTTTAAAACAAAATAATACAGGAAGAAATGATATAAAGAACAATTAGTGAAGTCTAAGCACACCAGAGTAAGTGGGAAGCTCCTCCTCAGTGAATCTTCCATCTCCTTCTTCAGAAAGAGCAGCTCTTCTCAAGGAAGAAGCAGACCAAGCTTGATAGGAAAAAAGCTTAAAGGGATCATGTTTATGGGTAGGAATGAGAAAACAGATATGTTTTGGTTGCAGAGGCTGTACAGAGCTGAAATTCAAAGCCATTGTTGTGTAAGGCCATTTAGGTATGACTTATGAGGCTGCAATTTTTGCTTGTAAAAAATCCTTTATTATGATAGACACCTCAATTTAATTAAACAGGAGGCTGAAAATAGGTGCACCACAAAATTTAATTTTTTCTGTACATGCCCCTGTCCCGCTTTTGGATGGTTATTACATGTATCGTATTGTATTGTTTTAATGAATATAATATTTTTGAATAGATTATATTATTTATCGTTATTTAATAATAAGAAGAATAAATTTATAATATTATATTAAAAAACATGATATGAGATTGAATTATTATGTAAAAAGGTAGGTTAAAGGATAAAATAAGTTTATTTAATAATAAGAAACGGCAAAATGAGAGGAAAAAAGGAAGGTGACGATGCGATCACATCATATTGGTCGTTACATAAAGTGACATTTTTGGTTGTTATGTAACGATGGATTTAACAATACAATATAATAACATTTAAGTAATAATCAAAACAAATATTGTATTTAAAGTAACAATACGATACAATACAATAAATAACAACAATCCAAACATAATATTCTAATTTTGAAATTTATTTCCTTTTATTCCCACCATCCACACCCACACAAAAAAAGGAGACTACTGCTCCTAATTATCCATAGTTTCTTTGATGATATTTTTAAATATTTATAGTTATAAAATTTAACTGTTTTTACTTGGCTTTGAGTATGAAAATTTCATTTTAAAAATAATATATAAGAATTAAGAAAATTAAAAGTGATGGTTATTATACTCCAAAAACATCATTCTTTGAAAGAAATTACTTTTAGTCATTAGTTATCGCTAAGTTTTTATTTTGGTCCTTGTATTATCTGGTTAAGTATAACTTTTAACCTTTAATTAATTGACACGTGCACGATTTGTCCTTCCACCAATAAGATCAGTGGCGGATTCAGGATTTTAAGATTGTGGTACTTCATTTTTTTTAAACATAAAGTTTTTATCAATCGCATAGCATAAATGTAGAACTAAAAGTTAACGGGGAAACTACAATTAGTATTACTGTTATAAAAAAAATTGTCAGTCACAAATCATAACCATACTCAAACAATTTTTTACATTTTGAAAACTATATAAATAATATTGTCATTGCTTACACTTACAAATAGTGTACGCTCCACCTAGTAAACTAAACAATTATTTAAAATGCACCACTAATGTTGTTAAAACATTCATCGATGTGATTCTAAAAATTGTTCGAGTCATCAAGAAGGCTAATTTGGAGTCTTTTTGGAAACTGATTTTTCCTCCTTTTGCATCAATGAACTAGATAAAGTAAGGAAAAATAAAAATACTAAAACAAGAAAGGTGAGCAAAAACAATTGATAGCACTAAAGAGAAATTAAAAATATAAAAAGACCTAAATTGAGACAAATAAATCGCTACTAAAAAGCAATCTATTAATATATAAAGGAGAAGCAAATCCATGATATTATTGCAAGTGTCAAAACGAAATATCAACATGTGTCATGTTTTAGGACAAAACTCCAATAAATTTGGTGATTCAAAAAAAATTAAAATAGAAAAAAACTTACAACAAATTTTATATAATTAACCAATTCAGTTATTCACATAATGGAGTCCTACGTTTTTGGACATATACTTTTTAAAACTGAAAACTAAAAAATATAATTACTCCAATTTCAAAAAATGGACTCCCACGGTTTTTTCATTTGTTTTTTTATTTAATTTATTATAAACCTAAAAAATTGTCAAAAATTTTTTGACATAGAATTTTACATAGAAATAGTAATAAAGAAAACAAAACACTCCAGGATCGTCTATTCAAAAAAATGGACTCCCACGTTTTTTTATTAATTTTTTATAAGTTATTATAAACCTAAAAATTCGACTAAAATATTTTTTTACAAAGAATTTTACATAAAAATAGGAAGAAAGGAAGAAAATAACACTTCACGATCGTCTTCCCAAACGTGGGCATCAAAACCTATCTCCATAATTTAGAAAATATCTCCTATGATAATAATGTCCCAAACATATGTTCCTCCTTTTATTTTATTTTCATTCCCTTCTTTCTATGCTTAAAATATAGAGCTTTGCAAATATGGTTACAATACTTCATGAAATCAGTCAAATTTCAAGTAACTCGATGCAATGGAATCTCAAAGTTAGAATCGTTCGAATGTGAAAAATCCCGAATTGTTTCAAGCCTGAAATACCATACTCCATAGATTTGATTTTACAAGATGCAAATATAACATATTCAACTTTACATAGTTCTAAAATTTCTCTTTTTTGCTGGTTTAATAATAAAATTTTCATAATAAACTATACTTGTCACACCTCCTTTTTCCCGATGGGGTAGGGGATAGGGAGTTTTTTCAATTTAAGTGACATTATTCGAAATAAAATTATTTATTTATTCAGAGTCGCCACTTGGAATAATTTATGGTGTCCCAAGTCACCGATTTATTTTAAAATCCCAAATCAAGGAAATTGACTCTATTTATGGTCCACGAACACAGAAGATCGGGTAAGAAATTCTGTTAATCCGGAAGAAGGTGTGAGGCACTCCCGAGTTCCGTGATTTTAGCATGGTCGCTTAACAATTAATACTTGGCCTAATTATCTGATTTTTTTAATTATTTTTTTTTACTTTTTAATTATCTGATTTATTACCTGTTTTAAACCTATTGTGTATTTTACCTTTGACCGCTTTTAATTATGTATTTAAATCGATTTTTAATATTTATGGAGTTATTTCTTGAACAAGTTACGATGTCGTACACTTGTCGTTTGGTACACATTGCAAACCGCGCCACGTGAAACACACTGGCGATTTACAATATGTTTATTATTATTATTTGAAGTTATGGTAAAGTAGCGTGAAACGCGCACTCGAATTGGGATTTATGTATCGTGACCATGCCACGGGAACCGTACCCATGGCCACGATAATTTATTAATCGCACCTAAAGCAAGCTATGAAGTTTATGAATTATTTGTCTTAAACTAATTTGAGATTTGTAAAGCCATAAGAGTATGTCATTGTAGAAAAATATGAAATAGATTAAATTAATTATTCAAGAACTACAAAAAGGGGTCATTGTATGAAATTAATGTGCCTAGCAGATTTCAAGTTTTGGCCCAAAAATAAAATAACTTTTTTCATTAGCTTATAGTAACATCACAACTCCACTTCCTTCAACAACCCATGTGTCTAGGCCCAAACATTGGATCTTCACCAGTGACATAATTCTAGTTAAACTTGTTTAACAACTTAACTTTATACTTTAGACAATTAACAGCTTAATTTAAAACAAAGATGGAACTACTAAAGCTCATTTATTAACACATGAATGACTAAATAACCAAATAGAGACATAACATTGCTTGAGCTTCCATTTCAATAAGAATTTTTTTTTTTTTTATAAACAATCACAACTCACTTATCAATTAGCAAATTTCATTAAACCATTCATGGATGAACCCTTTTTTAAGAGAACATGCTAATGAACTAAAATAAATATACAAAGAGGAAGCTCAAAAATTGGCATGTTTAACAGAGAATAATTTCAATCATTCAAGATATAAATGAACACCAAAAGAAAAAGAAGCAACTCATATCATTAATCAAAACAAGATAAGAAGTGGACCTCAAAAGTTGAATCTGAAACTTTACGGTTTTACAACTTTGAATCTTAAACTCATTCATACCGCACGCAAGACCTTAAACGGAGCATCGAAACTCGTCGACGACCTCAAACTAAAAACCTCACTGTTTCGACTGGGTTTGAATGGTAGTTTATGGTATTAAAAGATTTTTTTCTATGGAGGTTTAAAGGTTGTTTTTGGGTGGTGAAGGTGCTGGTTTTTTCGAAAGAAAGACGAAAAAAATGACACAAGTAGAAATTCCCTTATCCTAAAAGAAGAAAATAAATTTCTCTCAATTCTCTCCTATCTTTTTTTTTTCCTCTCTCCCCCCTTTTCCCCCCTCACATTTCTCTTCTATTTATAGAATTTTTTTTGGAATTTTCACATTTTTTTTAATTTTATTTTTAAATTTTATTTTTTAATTAAAAAGAATTTTCACTTCCCATTTTTCTTATTTTTTTAAAAAATAATTCCCCACTTTCCTTTACTTTTATTTTTTAATTTCTCATTTTTTTACTTTTAATATATTTAAAATCCCACTTTTTACTTTTCTTTTTTTATTTCCCCACTTATTTTACTTTTCTTTTTTTAATTTTCACTTACTTTTACTTTTATTAAAAAAATAAATCAGATACCCTTACTTTTATTTTTTAATTACAACTTTATTTTACTTTTCATTTTTTTAAATTTTCACATTCTTTTACTTTTATTTTTTTAATTTTTCACTTTCTTTTACCTTTTTATTAAATAATTTTCATCTACTTTTACTTTTACTTTTTATTTTTATATTTCTACTTTTACTATTTTTTTTAATTTCCATCCTAAATTTACAATAACAAAAAAATAATAATAATAAATTTATTTATTTTCGGTTTTTTAATTCATTTTATTTAAAAATAAAGTTAAAAATAAAAATAAAAATAATACTAATAGTAATAATTGACCTTTTAAATTATTATTAATTTTTACCCTATATAAAAAAAATGTA